TTGCTTCACTTGTCATCACTACATAACAAATTGCTCTTATAGAGATACTACTAGTAATACCCTATCTTGATCTACTAAATTTTAGCTTAAAAACGTGATAGTAAGAAGAAAGAACGGAAAATATTTGGTTGAAGTAGCGCGACTTTTCGAAAGTATTCCGCAATTAATAAAGCATTACCAGAAGACTCCTGGAAAACTTAATAAGGTACATTAGCATTGCTAAGCATTGTTAAACATTTCAGAAGTTTACAGATAACTTTTCTTCTCAAATATCCGATTAAACAACAACCATGGGAGTATACTCATCAAGACGTGCAGCAAGGCAAGTTACTGGGAGAAGGAGCATTTGGAGAGGTTCGAGCAGGAACGTTAAAATTAAAAACAGGAAAAGTAGTTGAAGTAGCAATTAAAGTTGTACGTTTTATCATTCATGTAATGATAACTGAAGATTCAAATTTAAACATTTTCGCATTTATATTACAGACAAAAGGATGCTCCGATATTGGAAAAGCAAAAATAAAAGAGATGATGAAAGAGGCAAGATTAATGAGAAATTTTCGGGTTTGTAGAAACGAGAAGTACAAAAGAAAAACTGCTTAACAGAGCTTTTAGCACAGAAATGTTGTACGTATTTACGGTGTTGCCGTGGACGAACAGCCGCTTTATATTATTCTTGAGTTAGTAAGTGGTGAGTTCTTTGTGAAAGCAGTTCTCCGACAGAGTCCACAGTCAACGCTCAAGAATTGGCTTTGATATGTTGGTTCTCTAACACATGTGAGTGTAGCGATGAATAAAGCGTCACGTCCGCGCTGCAGTATCGTAGTTTTCTTGCTTTACACCTTTTACCAACTGCAGTACTGAACATATCATTAAACTAAGATCATGGGATCTGCTCTAATCCACTTAGCCTATCAAGAAGCTTATCAACTCAACTAGAACCTAATTCTATGCTACTTTCAGGTGGAGCCCTCAATACATTTCTGAAGGAAAACGCTGGTAGAGTGGAAGTAAAAGAGAAACTGGACATGTGCCTTGGAGCAGCACTTGGTGTAGAGTACCTGCATATAAATCAATGTATGCATCGCGACCTTGCAGCAAGAAATTGTCTCATTACGCGTGATAAGGTGGTATGTATTGGATAATACTTCATAATGTTAACGCAGCTGATCACTCTCAGTGTCTCCTTTTGCAACTCTGTTTCTAGGTAAAAATCAGCGATTTCGGCTTGTCAAGGCTCGGTGTTCAATATAGGCTGAAAGCAGCGATGAAGTTACCCATAAAGTGGCTGGCGCCTGAAACCATTACAACCTTCACCTTTTCCTTGAAGACGGATGTCTTCAGCTATGGTGTAATGGTATATGAGATATTCGCAGATGGAGCTGAACCTTGGGATGGTCAAACGAACGCTGAAGTGAAAAAAGCGGTGAATACTACAAAGCACCGGTGCTCATTTATTCATTATTGTTTTTTCAAGGTAATCGAAGGGAAATGTTTGACTTTCCCAAAATGTACTCCAGATAAAGTGAAAAAGTTTTTCGTCCAGCATGTTTTCGTGAAAAATCCAGCAGCACGTGCATCAATGTCAGAGGTCAGTGTTTAGTGTAAACTATCCATTTCCGACACGTGCCGCTGATTCCAAGTTATAGGTCGTAAAACTGTTGCAATCATGTGGTGCTTCAAGTGGAGCGCAAACCAAGTCACAGATATCTGAAGTGAGAAGCCCAGAGGTGCGACGGCATGCCACAACCTGATCCAAGAGTAACAAGAACGTTCATCAATAGTTTTCACCTTCTAAGTCTTTTCTGCCGTCGTAACGTATTTGTGGAAAGAAAAATATCTGCAATGTATTTTGGTGTCTGATTTTATTGCTATGGGTTATTATGCTTAAAAAAGTGTCTATCCCACTGATCATATCCATTTTCTCCATAAACAGCTCCCTCAAATTAGTAATGTGCTTCGTCAATAATTCTCCCAAATAAACGAATTAATTGATTAAATTGTCTTCAACGTGGCACACATATATTATTCATAACAGATCCTATTCAGTTTCCCTAAAAATCTGCAATGTGTCGCGAACTTTACATTCAGCCAAATCTTCATTTGCCGGTTGATAAGCATTCATTTCGGTATCATTGCTTTTATCAAAACAACAACTCGTTTTCAGTCT